TAGAACGAAATGTGAGCTTTCAGATAAAAAAAGAATTTTTAAATTTAATCTTATAACTATTAAAGCGTAAGGAATTCAAATATCGCTTATCAAAGTTCGCTCACCAAAGATCGCTCGACAGCCGGACAGCCCTAATCAAAAAACAGGTACACATTATTTAATTTTAGAATAACTTTTTTATTTTCTATTAAAACTTTAAGATTTTTTTTAAATTATAGAACGAAATGTGGGCTTTTAGAGAAAAAAAGAATTCTTAAATTTAGTCTTATAATTATTAAAGCACAAGGAATTCAAATATCGCTCACCAAAGTTCGCTTACCAAAGATCGCTCCTCGATAGCCCTGATTAAAAAAATGATCATAAATTTAATTCATAAGCCTTTACTTGTTATTTCATAATAATTTAATTAAAAACTCGAGAAAAATAAAGTATAGAATAATATTTTAAAAATCTTAGAATTTTTTAATTTTTTTTTAAGATCGAGGTTATATTAGTAGAGTTATATAATAGAGTTTTAATATTTATATCTTATTATCTTATTATATAACTTTATTAATCATCTTCAAGTATTAAACTTCTAAAAGTTCTAAGACTTATATGCTTAATTCTACGCTTTGTTTTAAAATATGTTTTTATTGAATAGTAAATAACAAAGATCAGATTTGGAGATTGCAGATCTTAGTAGGTTGCAAATGCGAGTGAACACGAGTACGAAAACGCTTTACGCCATCTATCTATCCATCCATCCATCCTCTCTACTGCCAACTCGCGTGTGTATACACAGATCCCCCATGCGCAATTTCTTGCTGGTATCGCGGAGCGAAAAAGGCTTTGAAATATTCAACGCTGGCCACATTGCCGTTCAACTGTTGGCTCTGGCCTTCCGCTCTGACCATCTTATAATGATGTTTTGGCCCATGATTTGCAGTATTCTCCGACAACGTGTCTCCAATGATCTGTCGAGCAGAATCCTTCGCTGTCACATCTTCATAGATATGTTGCAATCCGCTACTCGAGGATCTGTGGCCTTGCCCAGAAGTGATTTGTTGTCTCGAGGAGCCGCGATACCCTTCCTCTGCCATGTCGTTGAACGGCTCTAGGATTTATAGCATCAGCAAAGCCACTACGACGGCATTCTTAACTTCATTTGATTTACCTTGTCCTCCTTGTGTCTGCTCAGTGCTGACGTACACGCCGTTGGAACCTTGTCTGAGCGACGTCGCCGGCATAGTTCGCTCTTCGTTGGCTACATTGTCATCCCTGTAGATCTGATTGCCTTGCTTTAGACTGGTCAGCCAGACATCACCGTTGCGATAGTCGATCATCCTCAAAGATATTTCTGGACCTTCATAGTACTGGCAGAACAACCAAAGGGGCAGACTTACCCTATCTCCCTCTTCCACCATAGCAGAATGTCGGTGTGCCCCTTTCTCAGCCATTTCCAGCTTATGAATCCCTTGCCCCAAAAGGTCCGTCTGGGCCACTGAAATACACAGAAGAAGTGCGCTTTTCTCTTTCTCAAGCCTATCGAAGTTGGCCAGGATTTCCTTTTCCTTGGCTGCTTTCAGGATTTTCCAGTATCTCCGAATCGAACCGCGAGAGTAATCTTTTGTCAATTGCTCGAGTGTTGCGGATAGAGTCTTTGCTTGCTCGAGGGTCGCGTTGATATGAGCGTGAACGTGAGTTGTCTGTAGAAGACGATGTTGCTCAACAAGCTGCGCTGTGCTGACGAGCAGCCTAATTTGGTCCGAGTGTTGCCTAATTCTCTCGGGAGCGTCTTGCACTCGTTGACATATTTCAGAGAGGCATGTGGCGATCTTAATGCTGTACACAACAAGCTGCGAAGCACTTGCTAAGAAGCCCACAATCTCTATCCCAGCCATCGATCCTTTATCACGTTCCCGTATCATACTATATTTAATAACTGCGTGACCAAGTCACCCAACATTCCGGTTGTCGCCGATGTGGGCGCTTAGTAGTCTGGGTCGGAGACCTTCGGTATCCAATTGTACAGGGTCAAAGCCCAAGGCGATCAAGGCGATCGCGGATTAGGCCTTGCTGCGCCGGCATTTCAACCTCAAAGGCTAATAGCCAGTAGTGAGCTGCTGAAACCTGAATTGGCAACATCCAACAACATTTTTGTGTGACGTGAAAGATGAACGGCGTACGACAGATTTTGTGTTCGGTTTCCAGGAAGGATGCGGATGCATGTCCGCCTGACTGGGCTTCGCAAGGCTACCAATAGTCTCGACCCCTCCCCCAGGGTTCCCTCGTTCTCTAGCGTGGGCAGGATTGACACCAAAACCAGGCGTCCGGCAACTGATGTTGCATATTCGCTTCTTTGCTCCCACCACTAACTTACGTCACTCCATGGGTACCTTACCTTTACAAAGCCGGTCACTGTGAGGTCAGCTGAGATTCGACCATGCAACCTTTGGGCAGTGCATCGCAGACGAAGGTTACTACGCCGTATACCGAATATACGAATATAGTATTGGGCCAATACCTCACACCCAGAATACACACAGTATCAGATCAGAGCGTCTCCTTCACCGCCAAGTCTTTCAGAAACGTTTCCGGCTCTGGACCAGTATTCTCTATTATCCAGTAGAGAAGATCGATTTTACCATGTATTGACATGCCAAATCTGAGAAGGTAGAATTCAGCTGGAAAATTGACCATCAAACGCGCTCGTCTCGCCGCCTCGTCATGGGTCATTAGCCACGTGAAGGTATCAAAATGGTAATGCCGGAGTGGATTGGATTGAGAAGGGAGACCTTGGAATGCTACAACCAGTTCGTCTTCATGCTGCGATACTTCAAGGAAGAAGTTCTTGAGGGGACTATGGTAGCGACCGCAATAAGCATCCAAGGGGAGGCTAGGCCTTGTATTGGGCACACGACCTTTGTCGAGCTTCAACCTCATTGAAGGTACTAGTGCGAGAGCACTCCTAGCGCTCGCTTTTGCAAGCTCAAGCCAATCATTCCTCTCAGGAAAGTCGAAGACTGTCTCAATCAGGAGTTGCGCGATCCAGTCAGGACAGTCATTCAGCGAATTCGCACTTTGCAACACGACAATTGTGGTCATCGTTTCCGGAAATGCATATACATTGGACGACGAACCTGGCATAAGACCCTCGTGATAGAGACAGAAACGGGAGGCAGCCCCTTTTCCAATGACTGGTAGGTCCATCTGCAACCTTGCGTTGATGCCTTGCTTGCCTATTACACCCGGAAGTTGACAGCGGATCCAACCAAGCCCATAAGCATTCTCTCTTAGCGAGGCGCCGTCGAGGAAGCTGTGGCCTCTGATGAGTGTTGGACACTGCTTAAATGGTGAACCCTCTGTGGATGTTGAACCATGTTGAACCTGATCTTTGACCGCTTCAAGGAACGCTCGGTATAAATGCAGAAGATCATTAACGGTGCTCTTGATGCCAGCGGCACCTTCGAGGAGTGAACCAGTGCCGACCCTTGGTCCCGGAACACGGCATAATGACTGGTCTTCCAGTACGCAATAGCACCTGCCCGCGTTTGCATCATTCGAAACATCAGCCGTTGTGGTTCTTTCCAGGTGAAGCATATCTAATATTCTGTGCCTCAGGAAAGTGCCGAATTCTTGCCCTGACAATGTCTCGATCAAGAGAGCAATCACAGCATACCCGAAGTTGTTGTAAATATAAGAGTCTCGGAATCCTCCTCTCTGCTTCCCATAATTGAACGCCTTGATCGCGTCATGCTTTTCAAGGAGTAATTCGTTGTTGTCTTGGAAAAAGAACGTGTCTGGAGATGCGATTCCTGAACGATGAGACAATAAGTCTGCTATGGTGATCATTCTCCCGATTTCGCCATGCCCATCGCCAAATGCAGGTAACGCTTCTTGAACTGGCATATCCCATTGTGTCGCGCCTTCTTCGACAAGTATGCCGATGGCAGCCGCCGTCAGCGCTTTGGTCATCGAATTGATGTTATACAAAGTGTTTGAATCAGGTAATTTTCCCGACTCAACATCACGATGGCCAAAATTGTCTCTATAAATGACTTGCCCCCGGTGTAAGACGCCGAGCGATAGACCTGACGAACTAGATTCTTCGCATATCTTTTGAATAAGTGGCCTAATGTTCTCTAATCGCTCAATATCCCCTCGCACCTCCGTCTGACGGATCTGACGCGGTGTGGTCACCCTCTCATCCTTGAAGATCTGACTGACGCAAGGTCCAAGCTGCTCTTTGCATTCAATCTTCGCTGCGGTCTCCGTGGGAAGGCCGGTTGCGTCGCTGGCCTCTTCAGAAGACCATACAAGGCCTTCAGTCTCTCTAGGGGACCGACGAGGTACTTCAATCTGTGTGGAGGACGGGATACCCATCACGGTCTCCCCGGAAGACAGCCTACCAATTACTTTAGTGGGTAGAACTTGCACCCTCCGGACGCTCACTCACATGAAAGGTGGATGAAGAATGTGGAGAAAGCTACGGATACAAGCGCTTTCACGTATCACAGGATTTTGCGAGACTTATTCGGCCGCACTCATACCCTGTATCGTCTCATCAAAAGGCTTTTCCTTCAGGATATCAACAGTCAATTTGAACGCATAGGTGTACACCAAACCTTGGAGAATTTGAAAGTGGAGGGTCAATGCTTTTCCATGCGAGGCCGCACATGCAGCAGGAGCGACCCCGCTAGCCCGACCGCCACCTCAGCACCCAAATTCCATACTGACTGATAACTTACGAACGTATCTTACAATTACATTGAAATACCACTAGCTACCGCAGTATACTGTACATTGTGCTTTTCGCCTTGTTCGGTAAGAATCAAGGCTGACGAGAGTAGGCAGCCTGCTGCGCGTGGCTATGGTGAGGTTATTTCCTCGTGGCTATGGGAAGTCCTCCATTCAGTCCTCCCTCCACGAGCGATCACCGAGGCAGTATCTCTTTTCTTTCCTCTCATCTCTACGAAACTTCGAAATCTTTCTACTTCCACGACCTGCGCCCTGTTGTTATGACCACCAGGCAGCGTGCTTCTGCACGTAGAAGAGCATACCGTGATATTAGTGCATGGGGAAATGCACAGCAGATGAATGGTGACATTATCAATGTCTGGCCACGGGCGAGTGAGTACTAGCTTCACTGTTAGATTCCGTCAATCAATTCCTACTTATCCATTGCGCGTTTGTAGCAGCCCCGGAGACTCGTCTCAGCCCCCTGACCCCGAATGAAACCACCTCAATCTGCAGCCTTCCACCAAAGCCGGAATTCTTCAGAGGCCGTGATGACTGTCTGGACAAAATCCGCCGCAAGCTGTCGCCTGAGGGACAGCAATCACCCTCTGAATTGAGTCCATGTCTGATCACAGCAATGGGAGGTATGGGCAAGACTCGGATCGCTCTTGAATATGCACATCGAAACCGCAAGCTCTACGATTGTGTTTTCTGGCTGGGAGCTCAGCAGTTACCCAAGCTTTCGTTCAGCTTTGCTTCGATTGCGGCCGAGCTTGGAATTCCTCACACTGAGCTGATGGGAGATAACCGAAAACACGAACTGGTCAAAGAATGGCTTGAAACGACCGGTAAGACCCCTAAACATAATTGTCAGGATATAGCTGCTGACCGAAAGTAGAAAGAACTTGGCTTTTGATCTTTGACAACGCAGAGTCCTGGGACTCTCTCGAGAGATTCTGGCCAAGCCGAGGCTGCGGTGCGATTATCGTGACAAGCCAAGTTGCTAGCTCTTTTGCGCAGGCGATTAGCTTTCATATCGAACCTACCCCTTTGAGCATCGAGGAAAGTTCGAGGCTCCTGCTCGAGCTTATGCAGTGTAACCAACCCTCGGAGGAAGACATTTTTTCGGCAGAACGTATCTCAGATATGGTCGGAGGGCTGCCAATCGCAATCGCTCACATGGCTGGTTACATGTTTACTTCTAAGACAACCCCCAAAGAACTCCAACAGAGGTTAGAGACTGAGGAAGTATACAATATCTGGCGGAAGGCGACAACGTGTACAATTCCGTTGTATGAGCAGACGCTTGATAGGGTGTGGAGAATCGCCCTCGAAGAGCTTCCGGCTCCCGCGATAGAGCTTCTTTGCGTGATATCGATGCTGAACCCGGACGCAATACCTGATGAGTTGGTTGTCCAATGGGCATCATCGGAATCAGATCCGAGCCTTCAAGAGACAGAAAACGGAACAAGGTTAGTAAATTCACGTTACCAGCAACCATGTTTTTGGCTGAGCCCAAAGCTGAAAACCGAAATTTGTAATCTTTGAATCACTCTGGATTCGTCATCGAAAATCTTGGCTGACGTTCTATACCTCAGTCTGGATGAAATTCGGACAGGTCTGCTTAAAAGACAGCTGGTGGATAGAGGTGAATTCCCCTCGGGGGAGCGATACCTTACTGTACATCGTTCGCTACAGATAAACCTGCGCACCAGCCTGGTAAATGATTACCCGAGAAGACAGCAGGTTTTTGACAAAGCGGTGGCCCTATTACGTGAACTCTTTCCAAGTCAGTCCAAGATTATGACACCAGTCAATCACCATTGGGACGCCTACGAAAAATATCAGCCTCACTTAATGAGCTTGCAAACAATTTTTTGCCAAGCGGGAGGCGGGCTGGAAGGTACTGCCGTCTTTGCAAGTCTCTTATCAGACGAAGCCAACTACTTCTGGGAACGAAATCTTCTCGACGACGGTGTTAGGGCCTCCAAGCTGGCCGTTTCCATCCTCAATGACATGGATCAGCCTGACCCTAATGCCCAGGCTCAAGCATTGTGTCTCCGGGGGGACATAGAGCTTGAAAAGGGCTTCAGTGGGCGGAGGACTGGCCTTGATGTGCTGCTCAAGACACTGGACATACGGAAACGTTACATTGACAAGCCTCCACCAGGTGGGACTCCTGATGAACAGCTGCTTTATGCAAATGCCTGGAACGACTTCGGTTGCGGCTTGCTGGAGTTTGCCGAGTATGCAAAAGCAGAAGAGTACCTCGTCCATGCGTTGGACATCAAGAAGCGCAACACCAACAAGCATGACGAGCCTATGGAATTTGCCGAGGCATACATGAACTTAGCAATGGTACGTTGTTTCCAGAGTAGATATGACGAAGCCAAAACACTGTTGGAAGAGTCCGTGAAGCTGGCAGAGAAGGCCAACGGTCGGCATTCGGCCTGCGCTCAAAATTTCACCTTCTACTGGGCCACCATACTTCTGAATACCAACGATCTGGAAGCAGCGAAAGAAAAGCATGAGGATATCCTTGAAGAACGCAAGGATATTTTCGGTACATTTTCGCTTCGCACTAGACACAGCTACTATGCCTTGGGATCGACTTATCAGAAACTGGGTCAGCTAGAGGATGCAGAGTACGACCCGCTCCTTCTTCGACTCGACTTATGCTGACAGGTCGCAGGGAAATGTTTCGCAATGCTCTGGAATCTCTGGACCGATTTCCTTGTCCTGACGAGTACATAGCAAGGTCGCAGTATAGCTTGGCGCAAGTACTCAAGTCGAGGCATAATCATAATCACGGAGAGGCGACAGAATTAGAAGCGAATGCCAGGAAGCTGCGAGATAGACTGCTTGATCAATACGCACCAAACTCGGAATGGGGAGACACGGATGAGCTGGGCGTTTTTGATTACATGGTATCATACAAGGCAGGACGAACAACGATGGGTCAAGCTCCAGTCAAACTGTTTGATGTTTCAGAAACAGGGATCGACCAGAGCATAGCTGCATTTGGTAAATATGATTCTCAGCTGCATAATCCGCGCTCTCGGAACGAATCATAGCATTTTCTGCGACCAAGAACCTGCACGGCTGCCCACCCTTGTGATAGCCGAGACCGACATTTCCAAGGCCTTGTCCAGTCCGCGGGATGCCGATATCTCTGACAACACAACCCATGGGCACTCTTCTTCAGACCGTGCGCGAGATCGATCCAGCTGATTGGTTCAAATATAAGTACCAGGCGAGGATTTATTTACTTCGGCCTTGATTGTCGTGGTAGCCAATCGCGTTCGACCAAGGCTGAGCGAAATGGTGCTGTGTGCCATCCACACTCTCTGGCACTCGATGATCAACGGAGCCGAAAACATGCACAGTGAGCTGTTCACAAATTTGAGCCGCAAGGTGTGGTCGATCCTTCCAGTCTTTCTGCGGTCCAGTGCCCTAATTTTGTGTCATATTTGTGGGTTCAGGATCGCAAGAGCAACAATCATATCCAGTAACGTTTCCAAAGCCCTCAAATTGAGCAGAAGATTTTTGGTATACAAGGGGTGCGGTAAGTCTTATCCCTGAAGACGCGAGTATATTACTCATGACATATTAGCCCAACTTGTTGATCGCAATGCCAGCCCAGGACAGTAGCCTCAAACCCTTCGACGGCCAGGTGAAATCGAGCCAGGCTAACCTGGCTGATTCCATCAAGTCCACAGCCGAAAAAGACACGCGAATGAAACCGTGGCAAAGCGTGCACAAAGACGGGCAAGCCACGTCACAGGATGGTGATCAAGACGGCGGCGCGAAGATGAATGGCAAAGACGAATACTGGATGACCGAAGGCTCCGTCAATGCTTCGAGCTAGGTACGCTACGCAGCATCGACGCTTAGCCATCATAGCACTAACATCGGAGCAGGTGGTGATTCATAATAACCCTCACGAACGAGAAAACACGAACGCTCTGACTTCGATACTTTGACGGGGGACGGCAGTTGGTGGGATTTTGCTGTGGAAGAAGGAGGAATGCGGACAGTCTATGATTGATGAACTAGCCCTTATGTATGTTGATGAGTGATGAGGATCTGGCTTACTGATTGCTTTGACGGCCAGGCTGGAATCATAAATCTTGATCAGGAGGACTTCGTCTGGGGTTTGGCGCGATAGGTAGTACCACTTCTGTCTGTCGTTATGTAGCAGATACATCGTTTCCTGAACATCATCGCGTCGAACATAGTCCGTGTGAACCAAGTCTGCCTGATCCACGGTGCTGCCATCGCATACTGCTATGGGCCTGTCCTGGATTGTGTGGGATAGTGGCTTCCATAGACTATTCACTTGTCAAGGCTTGGTCTTGACCGTTGTCGAGAATGCTTGTTACCTACTTGATGATCCGAATGCGGCCTTTGAACAACTCCTCAGCCTCGGCGCCGAGAAATTTTCGGCACCGTTTTACCATCTCCCATGGGCTTTGATCTTGCGAGACCTCGTGGTTGGTAACCCTGGCATTGACTCCAAGTTTTGGTGTCGCGAGGAGTTGCACTCACCAACATGACACGTCGATGCTACTGGTAAGTATTGGTGTAGCTCAGTCAGATCGACCCTCCGCGGTGTGAAGTCAGACCGCCGTAGCTTAGATTACCGTCAGCGAAGACTGGCCGTTCAACGTTGGGATAGGGCCAGGCAGAAAGTTGCCAATTTTCGCTTACCCTCCAGTCAAAGATGAAGACACGACCAATGTCTCCTATTTCTTGCTTAATAATTGACTCAGCCCACGGCAGATACTCCTCAAGGATTCTCTGCTTGTTGTCGTAACCATCAAACGGACACGGCTTTGGTCTGTACGCAAAACCATGACTGTCAAGCGCAAACTGGGTTCCTTCCCTGCCTCTGATGTCTGTAATGGTTTGCTCTCCATTGGTACCAAACAAGAGATTTGTCCGCCTACTTTCGGAACCTTGAATAGTTTCGGTAACAATCTCGAAAGGCTTCTCCTCCTTGTACAAGCCCTGCCACTGTAAAAATCGAAGCTTGACCTTTTCGTCGAGGCTGGCCATTGCAACGTCACGGCATACTTGGGACTGGATTTGAGAAGAGTTGAAATCTGCACGTCGGAGTCGCACATGCACCTACCGGGCGCTTCCTGACATGCATCAAGCTAGTTCGACTTCGTTATAGATCAATGCAGTATCGACCCACGTTGACCAGAGGTTTCAGTGATATGCGAAGATCGGCCCAGGACTAGAGATAGAGGTCTAAGGGGAGGGTCACCCCGCTCTCGAAGTTCGGCGCTGGCTTTCGATAAAGGTGTGGGTAAGGAGTAGAAGAGGCCCGCCCACTGCAGATCATTACCGGGAAAAGATTGCTGCAAGCATCCCACATTTGACTCGCATGGAGAGCTGGTCCCAATGGACACGTACGGCCCAGTCAGAATAAAAATGCAGACTATCCAGCGTTCTTGCGGTCAAGACTGGCGCAGCGACCCTGTCTGGTCAAGGGCCCACTAGGGTCCATAGATGCGCAATAATGCACACTAACGCCCTGTTTAACAGAGGCATACATTGAAATTTGAACCACGACAACCGAAAAGCTCATGATGCTGGATCGTTGGGTACCACCAACGCCATAGCCTCATCGCGAAGAGACACGCAACGACTTCGTGCCTCATGTGCTTCTCGATATATATGGATTCTTAGAATTTGAGCACGAGAAAACTTACTGTAACGTAAGGAATCTGTTTTGCTAACGCGCTTATTGAAACACGCTAACATCGAAAACATAGCAGCGCCGGCCAAGGGTTTTCCATCACACCGCAGGTTCCCACAATTCATTTGTTGAACTTCTAGGATCGTCTCACGAGATGCAGTTGTTGGGGAGCTAGAGACACGGTTCTACATCGACTGTGGGGTTTCAACAGACGAGTGAACGGTCTCGGGACTTAAAAGTGACGGACAAAACGAGACAAGATAAGAGACTAAACCAAAAATTCTGTAACATACAAAGTTCATTTGCTTGAAAATCTTGGGTCCTCGCTTAAAACATATGCGTACCTGCGCTCGACTAGTTATGAGACTGCCACAAGAGACAGGTACATGAATTCATGTCACAATGGCAATTATGCTATGTGTTCATTATACGGTAGGTAAAAGAATATTTCATTGTCTTGGCACAGCCGAGCGGCGTCGACGCGCTTACTAGCGTACTATACCCGCGTTTCATTAGGAATTCCCTGAAGCAGCTCGTTACCCTCATACACTCCCTGATTGTGATCGCTTACCTGGAAACTCGGCAATACCGCTATCATGATGCACCCGGCGAGACAAGCATATGTGGAGGAGGATGCACCCGAGGTAAGCAGGCAGCCTTGCACTTCTTGTTGTCTCGGAAATGTTCATGCGAATATCCCAGAGCGCCGCGGGTCTCAGACTGGAGATGTTTGCTTGGGAAGATCACTAGGATGCCAGCTGATGGAAAGCCTCGGGGTACTAGGATACAGAGATGGGGGTGGACCTCGCGAACATACGTATGGAAAACCTTGACTGGGGACTTATGCAAATGCTCACGGGTTCGCAGCCCTCGACCGGGATCACTACCTTCCTACTGCAGCTGCTGGCATCGCACCAGAAAAGGCATCAGCCATCCTCTCACAATTTTCCCGAAGACGGCGAGCAGCAGCCATAGCTGTCCCGACAGACGATGGCCGGGTCCGGTCACGATTACGTGAAATGGGCGAGCCTATAACGCTCTTTGGGGAAGGACCTGGAGATAGAAGGGACAGATTGAGGGAGCTTTTGACGACTCAGGCCGAGCTTGATGCCGGAGAGGATGGCGAGGGTGACATTCAAATGCAGGACGGGTCACAGGAAGGTGCCCAAGGAGAGCAAGATGAAGAGTTCTACACCGAGGGAATGCCGGAGCTGCTGGAAGCTCGAAAGGCTATAGCAAGATTTTCAATGCCAAGGGCAAGGGACAGGATTGCCAATCAGAAGTTGGAATCAACGATACCCCTACGTACGCATGTTAAGCACCGAAAAGCGATTAAGGAGCGGCTTGCAAAGTTCGAGCTGTTCGGTACCCAGATCGCTGGTGATCGCCCTGTGAGCATTACTCGCTTCTCGCCCAATGGGGAGTTGATTGCTGCCGGAAATTGGTCTGGCGGAATAAAGCTCCTCGATGTACCCAATCTGAACGAGAAAAGAACTTTGAGAGGACACACCGATCGAGTAGGAGGAATCAGCTGGTACCCAGACGCTACTCTACCGGGCAGCACTGTCTCCGAAGAAGCAGTCAACCTGGCTAGCAGCGGCGGAGAAGGCAACATCCATCTTTGGAATCTAAAACAAGACACTCCTATCTCTACTCTATCAGGCCACACCGCGCGAGTCTGTCGAGTCGAATTCCACCCTTCCGGTCAATATCTCGCATCAGCCTCTTATGATACCACATGGCGATTATGGGATGTCGCTACAACAACAGAGCTACTACTCCAAGAAGGTCATTCACGGGAAGTCTATACGTTGAGCTTCAACACCGATGGAAGTCTGCTCGCCAGCGCCGGGCTTGACAGCATCGGCAGGATATGGGACTTGCGCACTGGGAGGACTGTCATGATTCTGGACGGCCACATCAAAGACATTTACGCTCTAGATTGGAGCTATGACGGACACAGGGTCCTATCTGGGGCAGCAGACGGATGGGTCAAGTGCTGGGATGTGCGTATGGTGCGGCAGAATGGCCAAGTAGGGGCTCACAAAGGAAATGTCTCCGATATACGGTGGTTCAAGGGCGAAGATTGCACGTTGGCGCCAGAGAAGGATGACAAGGGGGACGTTCAGCCGAAGAAGTCGGGGACGTTTTTCGTTTCAAGCGGGTTCGATAAGAACGTCAACATCTTCTCCGCGGATGACTGGGCGCTTGCAAAGACCTTGAGTGGGCATTCGGGCAATGTTCTGTCCTGTGATGTGTCTCGCTCGGGCCGGTGGATCGCGAGTAGCGGCCACGACAGGACGGTGAAGCTTTGGGGTTGTGACGATGGTGGAGCTGTGTAGGCTACTGGGCTATTGGCCCAGCTTTGTATGATATCCACGCTCAAGCCCAGAGCGGACCAGAAACTATGATTACCAATCGAAAGCAGAAGATGTCTATAAATCTAGGAGAAGCCCCTAATGAACACGTCCACTCTACGGTTCTTTCAGACTAATCTTTACAGTGGTGCCGTGAACAGCATCGAGACACCGTCCTCTGAGCACCTATCACACGCAATCATCCCGAACAACAACGACTTCTTCGCCGCCCGCTCCTCCATCTACAATCGGTTCTCCCATGGCGAGACACCATAGTCCTGACCCGGGCCGTGCCCGCGCCGCTCGCAGAAACCCCACACCTACGAATCGTGGCTTTTGAGGTGACGGCTTGGGCGCTCATATGCATCGTCGCTCTGTCATCTCGCAAACCTTCTGCGGATGCTGGTCTCACGCCAACGCTGTCGGACTTTGGCGTCATGGAAGAGGAAGAGAAAGATGTAGAGAAAGGCCGGGGGGGGACATAAAGAGGGAAGGAGCCATTCGGTTCTTCTCTTCGAAGGTTTGGTTGCTCGTACTGGTGTTGTCCAGAATGCTGACCATGCTGCCATTGTTTGGACCATTGTGGTATAATCCTCATGTAAATGCGTTCATTCTCAATGGTAATGCGCCGCCCGCCGTTGGTTTGCATTGGCAGTCTTTGTGCATACGTATTTTGATGTTTCAAATGTCGATGTCATTGCAAACACATGCGTTGCGGGTGCCATGTGCAGCATATCCCATGCCCAGGATCTCATAGATCGGAAAGAGTGTCCTATTTGTGAGAGATGAAGTTCTTGTGCAATGTCTCACCCGGACACCTTTCGTTGGCATCAGAAATGAAGTTCCAGCAGGGACGTCCTTTTCGTAAAGCCAATCTCTCGCAATATTTGACGGCTTGTCGAAATTTTCGGGTCGTTCATACTCTCACGCCATACTTGTCAAAAGGCAAAACCTGAGGTCTACCCTTCCGTGGTTAAGTGGAGAACAAGTCGCAGCTCCTCTTCACGCGATGGATGATACACGGCCCCTTCTATACATCTGGCTCGGACTTTTTCAGTTGACTCTATGCTCCCTACCTTATCCAATCCGCACGGTAAGATAATAGCCCCGTCCTCACCTCTTTCATCAAACGCGATCTCTTCATGGCTGGGTCTGCTTGTAGCCCAATCCTGCGGCTGTTGTACTGCTACTGCCGGACTCATCCGGGGCTGCAGTACCCCATCTTTCCAACGAGAGACGCCCAGTGTCTGGAAATATGCGGAAAACGAGGGTTCTTGATTTGGATCAGGCCAGAATATGTTGTAGTATGACCGAGCTCCTGCTTTGTACGTCAGCGGTTCATTGCGCGCACTGAAAACACAGGCTCCAAATTGCTGGAGATGTCTTCGATCAGGGAGCTCCCTACCTGTCCTGAAGAGAGAAAGTGAATCTACGTTCCCCTGGGCGTCCGCCAACTCTAGGGTCGCGCGTTGCTGGTAGCTTTGGTAGCCCGGCCGAGGGAGTACATCCAAGCCGTACTTCTGGGCCGTGATGGTAATGACAACTCTACCTAACCATACGCTAAGCACCTTGTTCCGAAGGTCATCGATCTCCGTTCCTATGAAGGCGATCGTGTTTAGATTGCTTCTGTCATTCGGCCTTGTATTTATCAAGTTCCTGTCCATCCATAGTCGGAAAGATCTTAGGTTTGCCTTCCGTCTGCGTCAACAGCTCCGGGCACACAATCACGATATAGTGATGGGGCGGCAGCGGCGCACCGGCCGCTATCGATGATGGTGAATACTCCTTCATTCGCTTCATCGATCCGAAGATTGGATGAAAAGCCCTGGCCCTAGCCCTCGACTACCGCTTTGTCGAAGCTAGCGACATCGCAGATGAATGTAGTAGTCTCGCCTAGATACAAACGGTCCCTCGGTACCAGCTGAAAATTGATAACGAGAACAGAATCCATGGCATCATTGCAGCCATAGTACCGTCTGACATCGAAAGATGCCACCTGTCCGAAGATGTCAGCATGTATTTACGAAGATGTCAGGTATGTTCTGACCCATTCATGGTCCTGTTTGTCAAACGGAGCAGAATAGGATTGGCATGAGCGAAATGGAAAAGCACACGAGGAGCACCTGAATTTGCACATATCTGATAGCGTAGTGTCAGCCGAACCTTCCACTCCGGGGAACAGCGGGTTTAGAAGGCCTTTTTAGTCTACGATTCTGATCTTGTACAGTATAGGATGCCCTTTGCAGCTAATGCAGGATTCTCGACGTCTTGTAACGCTTTCCGGAAGTCTGCTGCATGGGGTTGACATACCGCGCTGAGAATATAGCTGTGAGTGAGGGCGAGCAGGCTGCTTACGCGAATGAACCGTAAAGTCCAGCTGAGCACTTTTCATTTCATGACATATTAAGCATGACACTGCTTTTTTTGCGCTCTGAAAGAAGATGTGGGGAATTGAAGAGAAATGCCGGAAAAGGAGAGATGAGGTAGGCTCGACATGCCTGGGACGAGATCAAAATACCGGGCGTCGTATGTGGTCTGGAAGATATTGAGCATGAGCGTCGTAAGGGGTAGAGTCGGGACGAGAGATACCGTCAAAGGCAGGCGCCTTGAGAGAGGAGAGTATGGAGGCATCGTCTTTGGAGGTCATCCACAACCCAAGGTGACTCCGAGCAAAGCAGCTCATCAAAGCCCGCTTCCTGGGACGTACGAAGAACCTTTTCGTTCTATCCGCTGGCCGAGAAAAGAGACGATGCGGATGAGAGCCAAAGGAGTAGGGTACAAGCCTGAAGGACTAGGGGTACAGGCTGCCGTTTGAAGAGAGCGATGCCTTATGTGCTCCTAGGTACCGAGACAAAGGAGGAACGGGACTCGTGGAGGATGAAAAGCAGAGGTACGACTCATCTCTTTGAGCGCATTGCATGGGAACGCTTACGAGCCAACGCTAAATGGATCTGTAGTGCTAGGGTCCCTTACAGATACCAATCTCAGGTGGCTAGCATAGAACAAAGAAACGGGTGAGTCTTCCATGGAGTTTCAAGAGACTCGGATCTTGCTTCGTTCAGCATTTTCATCAGAGAACAAGTGTGTAGTTTTGGACTGTTGTCAACATCAATGTCATATATTGTGCTTGTGTATTGACAGCCAATTCGATCATCCAAGTCCAAAGAGGACCGTCGTCTAAATCGGCTTTATATTTGCGCTTGGTCTTCTTTCGACCAGATTGTGAGGTTGTAGATCGAAGTAGAATCCCACAGACGTCAGATGGCAGTTGCAACCTTTGACCGAACAAGGCAAATTCTGTCGCGGCCCATAAATCAACTCCTCGGATGTGGCGGCTTTGCACTCGGGTCCTCTGACCTTCACTCTACCTATTTTCGCAACGATATCGCGATGCGCTGTATCCCGGCATTATGAGATCATTCCAGTACAGTATTGATGGATCTCCTGCGGGTTCAACCAGTAGAAGCGTCTCGTTAGAGCCTGCGACAACGTGCTGGGACCGTAGCCGCTGTACCTCCGAGCAAGCATTTCGACATAGACGTGGGCCTAGGCCGAGCTTTTCAGTCATTGGAACCCCGGGGGTCAACCATAACAGTGTCCCTTTTCTCCGGCTTTGCACCGTTCAGTCTTGCCTCTTCTGTCATAGGCGACCCTTGGAAGGCGTTCCTTTGCAGTGATTGCCATCTTGAAAGTGACTCGGTCTCAAGTCGCAATTTTCCTACTGACGTCGATTTCTTGGTCGAAGTCCACCCAGGGTCGGTCTGGGTCATCGCCGAAACAGCCTCTGATAGTAGCTAATGTTGACCATTTAGCCCCTTCGTTTCAACTTCTTCAAAATTTCAACGCTCCTTTCGATATCGAATCTTGATCGGAGTCTTTGAAGTTCTGTAGGATTTGGTCATTTGGTCATTCGGTCATTCACCAGATCCCATGCCGCTTTATGCGTGGCTGAGAATTCCAATCCGGCCGCTGGCACTCAAATTGGCGGTTGTTTCATTCCAGTCGACACCGACCAGACCGCCGGGTCCTGTGCGACCGGCGATAGCACGATCAAAAACAGAGCCCCGCTGGTAGATAACGATATTGAGCCTACCGTGAGTGCCTGCGTGTCCCACACCGCCACCCCAGATTGCCGGTGCACGCCTTCCCAACAAACAATAATCTAGCAGCGCTTTGCCCCTATCCGCAATCTCAGCCCATGATCCACTATCGGTGGTGAATCCGCCCATAGGGCCTGGTTCGACCAATAGGGCGATTTTGCATCCGTCTACGTACAGTATGTCAGCTAGGTACAATTTACCCACAAAAAGTTGACTGGGGCATCTCGGCGTACCATTATGCCACACCGCAGGTAGTGTAACTCGATGCCTCCATTGGTTGATAGTGAAATCAGCGCTGTGGCCGAAGTATGGCAGAAAGAAGCCGTGCTCATCACTATCGATGTTGTAGATGCCTGCACCGCGATGTGTTGGATTTCCGTATAGAAGGGCGATGCATGTGGAATAATTGGGTTGACCGTAAGCGGCGCGATCGCAGAAGTCTTCGGAGAGTTCTGCTACTGCTGAATATATGTGGATGAGGAGGAGGGCGGCTTGGACGAAGTGGATGGACGAAAAAGAGATCATCATTACAAAGGATTGGAATTGCATTAGGTCGAGGAGACGGAGGAGGATAAAAGTTAGAACAAGTCAATGCGCATTTCAACAGGTACAATCGCATGTCGCGTGTTAGAGAACCAGCTCTGTGCAGGTATGGCAGAAATACGGACATTGGTGGAGGCGATATCCGACCTTTCAAGCGCATAACAGCATTCTGGGTAAGGACCTTGACGCCTGCTGGGGTACAATATACCGAATATTTTATTTTCATCCCCCTGAGACACCTCAAATCTTGCCACATGCGAGAGGTTTGACCGACACATGAATTAGGAAATGGCGAGGGAGATATGGAAGTGGGACTAGATGGGAGGGATGCGTGTTTCAAAAGCTTCATACCTAGCAACGATGGCAACCGACATGAGAGATAGGTTAAGGCCGGAAGAGAAGGGAGCGCCGCGGGGAACAACTACCTCTGTATAGGAGCTTACTCCCATACAAGAACATTTTGAGGAGGCAAACGCTTCATCGCAATGTGAGAAGTAGCTGATCGCTTGCAACTGGGTATTCTGCAACAAGAAAAAGTGAAATGATCACTCATCTTTCGGCCTCCACCCTCCCAATCAGCCTCTTCATCCTCGTCCACTCCTCATTTCTCACACTCTCCCCTGCCAAGTCTAACCCAACTTCAAACACAGTCACCACGCCTGCTGCTCCTCCAACACCCAGCCTTTTCCCCTCTTTCTCCTCCCAACAGACTTTCTCCAGGCTCTTGGCTGCGTAGCCTCCTTGGATTTTGCGGTTGATCTCTGGCGTTGCTCGAGCGGCAGGAACTTCGGTGTCATCCGTTAGATCCCAGACTTCTACGTTACCTGCCCCGTCCACAGATGAAAAGACCCCGGGTTTATGTGGCGACCAGCGGGCGTCATACACTATGTCTTCGCGTGAAAATTCGAGCAGTGGTCCAACAGCATGCTCATCTCTAGCCGTGGGGCTCAAAGTCGATGAAGAATTCGATGTCGCCACGGAAGTCGAAGAAGGAGCGCGAGTCTTCCATAGCTTCACAGTCCAGTCGAGGGAGCTAGATAAGACCAAGTCTCCTAAATCCACAGGTCCACGAGCTGGATGAAAGTCCACGCTCATGACTGGTGCAGTATGGCCTTTATAGCGAAGTCGGGTGTCGACGCCAGCCTTGGCTCCTGCACGGTCATAGCGATGGCACGGGTAAATCGTACCTTCTTCTGTACCAACGAGGAAGGAAGTTGGATCCGAGATGGGGAAAGACATGCAAGTTGGACTCAGGTCTTCTGTCTTGCTTGGAGGTGGGGTCATTAGCTCCAGGTACTCTTGAGGTAGGCTCAGCATGTCGACCGTCCAACCGCAGACAACACCATCTGTTGAGCATGAGATGATGTTGTTAGCATTTTGGGTGCCAACGAGGGATATCGAATATACAGGGTGGGTATGGCCTCCAGTCGAGGCTCCAGTCAGGGGCGTCTTTTGGACTGGAAGAGGCGTTCTGGAGCGTGTGTCCCAGAGAAGGACTTGCCCACTGTAAGAACCGCCAATAATTAGGTATGGATGAAATGGGGAGAATTTGGCAGTCAGTATGTCAGATGTGCTGTGGAAGGTATATTCCGGGCGTGAATGAAGGTGCATATTCCATATCTGGACAAGACCTGAAGGATCTTGAGGAGCGGATGGGTTCTTTGTGTAAGAGGCCAGGAGTAGCTCTGGAAACTAGTCATATCAGATTGAGGTCTTCACGGGATTTGAGGGTCTTACTTTGGTAGAAAAGTTCATGTCACTGATCATCCGCTTCCTGCTCCACCGCTCGTCGTAGAATTGTGCTATCTGTCGTACCCGTCTGCCTTTCTTGCCCCGCGAGCTTCCATAGCCCTCATCTTCATCTGATTCCACCTCTGCCCCGTCTAGAGCATAATCGGCCAGCACATCGTAGTCTTGGTCCAGGGCTTTTTCTATGACCTTACTTGACCTTTCCACAAATTCCAGGAAGTCTTCCGATGCAGTTACAGCGTTAACCTCCTCATCTGTCAGACCCCTTGCAGGGAAATTTGACGGCCCAGTGGGAACAGGACCGTCCACGCTAAGATCCTTGACAGCTTTCAACTCCTCTTCGATCTCCAGCCGGAGATTCTGTCGAAGTTCTTCCTCCCTTTCTCGCTCTCTGCGGCTTCGCCGCTTCGTGGGCGAACGCGGTGCTGAAGGTGATCCGTCTCCATCGGAATCCGAGAAATTACCTGAAGATCTACGTTGCCGCTGTGGAGACCATGAATCGGAGGTCTGAACGCCTTTGCTGTAGGTCAAGACCTCGGTCGTAGGTTTCGGAGTGGGGGCGGGCGGTTGCTCGTAGGTGGTTTCGACATGAGGCCCGGACAGGGTTTGAGTGCCTGCTGAGACATATGGGACCGAAGGACGCGGTTGACTTGATGTACCGCCATGAATCTCGACACCAACGTTCCCAGTACCGAATGCGGAGCTTGGACGGCCTTTTTTGCCCGCTGGAGGGGACGCTCCTGCACTCCCGTCTCTAGATTTGTCCCCAACAAGGGTGTCAATGAAGCTGTCGAGCTCCTTTCTATCGTTTATTCGAGCAGGAGTAGAGACTTTAGCCTTTGATATGTGAGTAGACGCCCAGTATATTGATTGTAGCACGGACAAGGTACCTCAGATGACTCCCCTGCAGCGGACTCTCGTTTCCCGGAGTCTTTTTGCCGCTGCTCTCGTTCTTCCCGCTGCCGTCTGAGTTCGGCGAGTTTGGCCTTTTTGGCAAGGATCTCATCTTTCCGCTGCATCGTCACGGACTCGGCTCGAATGATTAGGTCAAGCCCATCCAACTTTCAGACCTGAGGACGACTACAAGTAGCAAGGCATGGCGCGTATGGAACAGGTAATCAAGAAACCAAAGGTCCTGTAGGTCCTTGATTTTCTATGAATGATCTGTAGCTTTCCCCATAGTATGGCTTCCTAATCGTCACCCCAAGTCGTATACCTGGTGGTAGAGGTTGGCGGGGGAGACGCGCAGTGAACGTTATAAATTTATGCATGCATAAAAAGTGGTCTAAGCTCCTTCGCATAAATTTTGTTCTCGACCTCAATTCTCTCTTCCAGAGAGCACAAGAGCTTCCACGACCGCAACTTTCAGTCCCTTGGCAGCTGTATGCTAGCCTGTATACACTCATTACTACCTGACTGTTGCGATTGACCTTTCCGTCTCACGCATCAACCTCCAGCTGTCCTTCCACTCTCCCCGGATGGCTTCCTCTGGCGGAAACGTGCGCAATCCAATGCTCCTCTTACCCTCTCCTCCATTGACCTCAATCGCTCACAATGATGCGCAGGTCCTCCGTTACGCTGCCCTCCTCACTGGCGTAGGTTACGGCTTCTATCACCAAGCCTCCATAGCAGCCCAAACAAAAATGGCACATATCGACAGGGAGTTTGAGAACCAGGCGAGCCTAATATCGAAAGCAAAGGCGGAGTGGGCGAAGAAGACGATGCCGAAGGAGGTTAAGGAGGGTGCTGGTGAGTTTGCCTTTTCTTGAGGTGAATGATGGCTCGGAATCCCACTGTTGTCAGCCGCTCCTGGCTAGGCGGAGATTATGTCGCGCTCTGGGACTATTAGGGCTACACCCGGACAGAAATGGCGTTAGGAAAATGGAAGAGTCTTGCTCGAACAAAAAAACTGACCTGTTCATTCTCGCAGTCATCTCTGATCCTAACGACCCGAAGTTCGATCTGGAAGCGTATCTGACAATGAGCGAGGCAAAATGAGAGTCAATGGCATGAGCTGGACAGTCGCCGTAATACCTCTGGGATGGACGATCAATGATTGTAGATAGGAGCTGGGACTTGTATCAACATCATAGACTTGACCCGTTTGTGGTCTCATTGTTGGTCCTAACATGCCTCTTTTCACCGAGCAAATAGTATCGCAGCCACCGCCTTGTCTTTCTCGTTGAATCCAACTCTCAATTACAAGACAGATTGACACTCAGTATCTCTACTTTCTTAATTGAGCAACCGACCAAGTTCTGGTTGACAATACAGCTAGATACTCAGGAGGACCTCGCGTTGTCTGTAGCAGTCAGGCCAAAAACCTGCTCATCGGAACAGCCTCATAATCATGACTTCCGGCGACTTAATTATAGGCCTCTTCCCCCCTACCCGCGAAGTTCGGACATCAAACCTCAACCCCTCAAGATTCCCCCTTCCGAAACCATCCATCTCCAACGTTGACCCCATCAACCTGCATCACTATAACCGCTTCCCTCCATCTCCCCGGCACCATAGACCCCGGCAACTCCCACAATGCCTTCGCAATCCACTGATACTCGAAAAACGGTGCCTCCGTCCTTGGCCGCGCGCCGTAATCGCGGAACTCAATCCACGCGTCCGTTAACGAGGGACGCACTACAAACCCGTAGACGGGAGAGGTGGAAGGGAAACGCGCTACGTAGTCGAGGCCTGCGAGAATAGGGATGAAGAATTCGTTGTTGGTGAGGGATTGCCCGACGGGGTTGATGAAGACACGGAGGTTACCGGCGTTGTGGGGGGCTGTGGTGTTTGTGAGGGAGAGACTGGCGCGGTTGGAGAGCATGGTGAAATTTGCGAGGGTCTTCGAGGGAGACATGGCAGGAAGTTCCACGTTCGATCTCCTTTCTAGACTCCCGCCGCTGCTGCCATCGTTACTCCCTGCCAGACTTGGATTCTGTGGATCTGGCTTCTCAATCCCCAGATATCCCACTACCGCCCCGTCGAAATTAAGTGTCAAATGCATCGTCTGAAAATCATATCGTGTCATCATCAACAGAGCCGAACTCCATATCCCCCACAAGATAAACCGTATCGGTATCGTCCCGGGACTCAGAGTCGCCGCACCACTTCTGATTACCACGTCAGAATAGGAAGGCAGCCTAGCAACGATGGGTAGGATGTCGGCATCGAAGTCTTGCAGGGCGAGTTTGGTCATGGCGTTCACGGCGTTCATGAGGCAGGCGATCGGGCGC